CAACCTGGAGCATTATGTTTAGAAGGAATATGCAGGATTGGGAGTTTAATGACCTGATCAAACTACTACAGACTCTACAGAGTTTCTCTCTCAACACTCAGGCAACAGATCAGTTCAAATGGGGTACTACAGGAGACGGGAATTACACAGTGAGTGCAGCCTACAAACAGTCAAGAGCACTTAATGCTAGTTTCTCTCTCAACACTCAGGCAACAGATCAGTTCAAATGGGGTACTACAGGAGACGGGAATTACACAGTGAGTGCAGCCTACAAGCAGTCAAGAGCATTTAATGCAGTCACTGACCACTGGCCATGGAAATTAATTTGGAAAATCAAGCTACCGCCCAAGATCGTCTGTTTTTGCTGGACTGCACTATATGAAGCATGCCTAACTCAAGACAACCTCTATAAAAGGAAACGCATCATTGTGAATGGATGCTACTTATGTCAGAAAGCAGCAGAGAGCAATAGGCACCTTTTTCTGCATTGTACTGTTACAGCAAAATTGTGGAACATGTTTTACTCTTTTTTTGGACTCAGTTGGGTCATGCCACATAGTATCAAAGAAGCTTATGAGAGTTGGTGTTGCTGGAAAGTTGACAGCACCATCAAACAGACTTGGAAGATGATACCTGCAGCAATTTTTTGGAGTATTTGGAGGGAAAGGAACAGAAGATGTTTTGAAGGTCTATCAACTCCTTTACATTCTCTCAAAGCGGAATGCCTTATGTGTCTGTACAGTTGGGTTAATTTGTCCTATGTAGATTCCCTGGATAGTTTTTCAAATTTTGTTGGCTCCTTAGTTTTAGCATAATTGTACTTGAGCCAGCAGACCAACTGTTTTTGCTTCTACTTTTGTAACTAATTTGCATCTTCTTGATGCCTTCAATGGAACATTTACTTCATCAAAAAAAAAAACGGAAGTAGAATAACATAAATTGAATCAGAGGGAGTAGTTGAGAATTTGCTTTAGCCATGTGCACTTTTACTTTACACCCTATGCTTTTCTAGATTGCCTTTTAGAGATTTATATGTATGTAGAAAATATAAAGAACTTCTAGTACTTTATTTTAGTTTTTATTATATTTTATTTTGTATAAAGTTGGCCCGAGATGAGTTTAAATGGAGTAACGTGGTCATTGAGGATGCATTAATCGACTTTAACATGCGTGAGACTGAGGCATAGTTGTATTGTTGTTTCATTGTTGTTGTTATGCTGTTCCTTGTCTTTTGATAGTTATTAATGATTTCTTTCTATCTTTTTTTTTTCCAGGTAAATTATCACTATCACTACTATTTTGGAGATGTACAATGGTAAACTTTTTTGAACTGAAACTGAGGTCCCCCTCGCTACAATCTCTTTGGTTCGTCGTCAGTGCAACATGAATGTATTCCACAAGCAATTCTAGGCATGGATGTTCTTTGTCAAGCTAAATCTGGAATGGGCAAAACTGCTGTTTTTGTTCTTTCAACGCTGCAACAGATTGAACCTGTTGCTGGTCAGGTTGCTGCCATAGTTCTATGTCACACAAGGGAATTAGCTTATCAGGCATGTATTTAAATATGCAAAACAAAATTCAGAAATTCTTTCTGCTTCCCCCTATGGAGGCAAGGTTAAAAATATTTTTGTGTGGGGTTCTTGGTTGCTGCAGATCTGTCATGAATTTGAGAGGTTCAGCACATACTTGCCTGATATCAAGGTTGCTGTTTTCTATGGTGGTGTCAATATCAAACTTCACAAGGAGCTTCTAAAGAATGAATGCCCTCATATAGTTGTTGGAACTCCTGGAAGAATACTTGCATTGGCTAGAGATAAGGACCTGTCTTTGAGGAATGTGAGGCATTTTATACTGGATGAATGTGACAAAATGCTTGAATCACTTGGTATGTGTTAGCTGCATAATGCGATTCATGATTCCTGTTACATTCAAAACCGTGCGAGGTTCTTTCAGTAGCTCTTTCACTGATTACCTGTGTTTGTTTCACAGACATGAGAAGAGATGTGCAGGCAATTTTCAAGACGACTCCTCATGACAAGCAAGTAATGATGTTTTCAGCAACACTCAGCAAAGAGATTCGCCCCATTTGCAAGAAATTTATGCAAGATGTAATGCCCTGTGGCCAGTTCTTCAATTTAGAAGTCTACCATTCTTCCTTGATTTTAGTTTTCTGCACTAGATAAGGTGTATCTGGCCAAAGTTTATTTTATAATAGAGCTCAAAGATAGGGATCACTAGAGTCCAGTTGTTGAGCGGGAAATCTGATTGCTGCACTAAAGCTTTTAGTTTGCTTGTTCTTGTCCCTATTTGTTTTGTTATTTTTCATTTTCTTGTGATGAGATAATAGTCGAAAAGGTCTCGAGGAGATCTATAGTGGAAACAGAATAATGGTGGGTGGGTGGGTGGGGGTTGATGATTGCAGCTGTTTGGTAGTTTTCTTTTAGCATTGTGAGAACACATTTTAAGCAACAATGGAAATAGTTGATGTGCTTTTACACTATCTGCAAGGAGAAATATCAAAGAACCTCGTTCATGGGGATCTCCATCCTATTCATTTCGTACTGGATACAATTAGCTTCATGAAGCTCCTAATATGCTTTGGTATGACATTCCTTTCAGCCAATGGAAATATATGTTGATGATGAGGCCAAGTTGACCCTTCATGGACTTGTACAGGTATGTCTTTTGGGACCTAGACATGTTAACCTCATTCTTAAAATTAGTAGCCTTCTTACCTTGTTTCTATTTCATGATAGCACTACATTAAATTGAGCGAACTGGAGAAGAACCGGAAGCTGAATGACCTGCTGGATGCTTTGGACTTCAATCAAGTTGTTATATTTGTCAAGAGTGTAAGCAGAGCAGCAGAGCTGAATAAATTGCTTGTCGACTGCAATTTTCCATCTATCTGCATCCACTCTGGAATGACTCAGGAAGAAAGGTCTGTATAGCTTTTAATTTCAAGTGCTCTCCACTTAATTTGCTTGTGCACTAAAGTTACACTTAATTTATTGATCAAATCATTCTCCACTTTGTCTTCTTATGCACTCAAAGATGTACTTAATTTCTAAATCCAAAAAGAGCTCTTGGAGTTACGTCCATTGTCCATTTCTTAACGATCCTAAAGTTATGTGGGAAGTTAAAATGATGTTATCCAGATATCAGTTCGACAAAATATACTCTCTCTAGGATTCTTCTATTAGTTGTATGTGATTGAATATGCTGATTACTATGCTTTATTAATGTTCTACTATTTTCTCCTCCATTCCTTGTATTAGTTATCTATCACGACCCAAAGTACACTCTAAATGTGACATGGCGTATAAGGCCACGAAAGGTTCTACACATGCCACTTGACATACATATACACAACAAAATAGAGAAAAACAAGAAATCTCATAAGAATGTAAAGAGTTGGACATAAGCGGAAGTACATCAAAGTTTAAACAAGCCTTCTATTACATCAAATGAGTGGTCGGGACATAACCCGTACACCACATACAATGTCTGAAATGAAAACATAAAAAAACAATAAATGTGTCATTGTCCTCAAAGTATGAGGACTCAGCAAGTCTTCAAAATCTCTAAGTGCTCACTAGCCACGAACGGAGGGAGAGGAATCGTCAAGCGTTACATTAGTGAAACAATGTAATCACAAAATGCATTAGTACATGAAATGTACTAAGTATGAGGGGAATGCTATAAAAAATGAACATGATCATAATGGGACACAATTGAAAACATGATAAGCATGACCAAGCTAAACATAGTAAAATCATTGAAGAAGAATCGTAAATCATGAACATGGTCAATGCATCATAAACTCACAAGGAAAGATTCATAAAACATTTGTAAGTAACTTAGTTCATATTGTGGGATATTAACTTTAACCGACATTAGACCATACGAGCTATAACATGGAAACCGATGTAACTCCTACATCGAGAAGGGAGAGTTTACTTGCCAAGGTAGAACTCTATGATATGGCAGAACTCTATATCATATCATGTGCTGTATGTGGATCCACTATCTAGGCCATTTAAGGCTAACCTACAGGGGCACACAGTTAGGAACTAGATGTTGCTACTAGAGACTACCCTATTTGAGCCTTTACCTCAAAGTTTTCTCGATGCTAAGTTAAATCCCGATGGAATAGTCATTTTCATAAAGTCATCATTATCCATGGACAAGTATAATTGAATTACTAATCCAAGCTAAAACAACATAGAGTAGCTCATTAAATCTTGAATCAAGTAAGTGAGAAAACCTTTCACCAAGTCATGATACCTTAGCATGTGAGAAAAACCTTTCACAATTCATTGATGCTCATCTTAATGCAACCTAAATCATAACTCATTCCGTTTCATAAATTATGCATAAGTTAACAAAAACATCATCCATTGATTCATAGCTTTCTTCAAATTCATGCAATATAGGGTTCATAGTCAAAATCATGATCAATGCATGGGTTCACATGGAATTGATTGGAAAGCATTAATTGAATCTAAATAATCATAATATGATCAAAATCAAACTATTGAATCCATACAAATAGAACCCATGAGGAATTGAATGGAAACCTAACCAATTGAATTGAATTTGAATTTGGAGAATTGAACAATCTTTTGGGGACTCAATGGGTGAATGGAGCCCATTGATGAACTCCCTACATACCTTGATTGAAGCCCTAGAATCAATGGTGAACAAGGAGACTTGATCTTCAAGAACCCTAGTTTCCGCTTCCTTGATCTGAAGAGAAGATTTTTGGAGAGAATTTAGGAATTTGATTGAATGAGGGAGTTGGGGAAATTTCTAAGGGTAAAGGGTATTTATAGGTCTTAGATTTAGTGTAAAAATGACTTAGCATAGACATTTAGTGCATTGGAAAAGACCCAAATATCCTTTAAAAATAATTGCTGGTTTGACCTACGGGTCCGTAGGAATTTCTATGGTCCGTTCTGGTTGACCGTAGAACCAACTTCAGAAACCCTAATATTCAATTGTTTCCCACGAGACCATTCTATGGCCCGTTGAATCTCCTACGCTCTGTAGAACTCAACTTTCACTTCAAAATTTCACGAAGTCTGGAACCTTTCTACTAAACCTTCCTACGTCCCGTAGACCAAATGATGGCCCGTCAAACCCTTCCGTAGGACTGAGGTCCCAAATCAAATCTCTGCATTACCCTTACGAATGCCATTTACAGCCCGTTAACCATCCTACGGTTCGTCCTGTCAAGTCGTAGTTCAAAACTTCAGAAACTTAATTTTTGTAAACACAACCCAACTTCTACGGTTGTCCTTCTACGGCCCGTAGGACAGCCTACGGTCTGTAGATGGGACTCATAGTTCACTACTGACAGCCAAATTCTGCATTTTTCTTTCCTTTTCGACTTTCCAACTTCTGGGGTATTACATTATCAAAACTTGCTCATATCGTTGTGTTCAATTTTCATCACTATTGTGTGATTGAGTGGAATTAAGAGGCTGCACCAATTCTTTAATGCTGCCCTTAAGTTTTTATTAATTTGTATCTGATGCAAGTTTAACTCATAACTTGTCTCTGTTGAGTAGATTGACTCGCTATAAGGGTTTCAAGGAGGGGCACAAGAGAATTCTTGTGGCAACTGATTTGGTTGGGAGGGGCATTGACATTGAAAGGGTCAACATTGTTATTAACTTTGACATGCCAGATTCTGCAGATACTTACCTTCACAGAGTAATTCTCATCTTTGGTTTTCTGTTTTAATTTATACATCTTATGTAGATTCTAATAATTATCTTAGTACTTGTGATTGTATAGGTGGGTAGAGCTGGTAGGTTTGGAACTAAAGGCCTTGCCATCACATTTGTCTCGTCTGCATCAGATTCTGATGTTCTTAATCAGGTTAGAGAACTTTGATATTTCTATCCTGTTATGGCCTATTCTGTTGATCCACTTGTTCTGACTTGCTTGTGCTTTACTAATTATAGGTTCAGCAGAGGTTTGAAGTGGATATTAAAGAGCTTCCTGAGCAGATTGATACTTCCACATACAGTATGCTGTTAATTGATGTTTAACATTAGCACTTGCTTTCATTTCCTTATGTTCGTTGCTTTTCTCAATTATATAGGCTATATGAACTAATTGATAAGAAGGTTCTGGAAATTTTAGCCATTTTCTGCTTAGAGGTTGAGGATAAATAGGAAGTTCTGAAATGGACATGAAAATAGCCCTTTCAATGCAAACTGGTTATTTTATGTGGATAAGTGTTTCAATAATAACAACATACTTGGTGTAATCCTGCAACTGGGATCTAGGGAGGGTAGTGTGTATGCAGACCTTACTCCTACCTTGGGAGGTAGATAGGCTTTTCTAATAGACCTCTACTCAAGTAAAAGTATTACAAAGTAGTTTGAAAGAAGAAAACAATGAGAGTGAAGAAGCCAATACAAAATACTAAAGAAAGCATGACAACACATATTAAAAAGGAACAGTCACTACAACAAAATAATATGAAAATCGAGTGGATACGAGTTTCTGCTGTTAACACTAATAATGGAAGGAGAAGAGCAAAACAGATCCTTTCATATATAAGAAGCTAGATTGGCTAATTTATCCTGAACTATCCTTTTAGTTTACCGAGTATATAATGAGATTGTAAATAATGAAATATTCATCAAATTTACACATGGGGATTGCCGTTTGTGTTTACTATGAAATAGATGGCGGAGTAAATTCATAACTAAATCTTTGTGTTGTTTTTAAAAGCCAAGTGTGACTTTCTTGGTAAAAGTTTTGCATTGAGTGCGTGAAAGCTGGCCTGGACACCATGGTCATCAAAAAAAGAAGTTTTGCATTGAGTACAAGTATCCTTTGCTACAGTGAGTTTGGAAGATTGTGTGTATTTGGCCCCTTTGTGTTTTGCTAACTTAATCTAATACAATTGTTTCTTGATGGGTTGATATTGTGAAATATCAAAGCTAAGTGTCATCTTAATTGTTTTTGCTTTTGTATTTCTCTTGAATTTGCAATGTGTTTTAACTGCTTGAGCAGTTGGTTTAAGGTGCTCAAAAAGTAGTCTTGTGTGTGCAGTGCCATCATAGTGGAGTGAGGTCTTCCTGGAAAATATTCAGGTGAAGTTGCATGAAGATAAGGGTTCACAATAAGGCGGTTATGCTTTTTTTGTTCAACAAACTGTCGGAATTTGATCCAATTAATTGGAAGAATGGGTAGCTGCCTCTGTTTCTGCACTTTTAGATTGATGTACCTATGGAATCCATACATGTTTTAATCAGTTCGAGAACTCCAAATGTTAATGTAATCCTTTTAAGAACACAACTGATGTCCCTTCTGCTGCCTAGTTGCTAATGATTAATTCAGGCCAGGTCCAGAGTACTAGTTGATGTTTACTTAAATTTGTTCACTTGAAGTTCAAGAACTATATTTGTGATGAGAAACTGTAAGCTGACAACTGAAACTGAATCTGGAAACTCTGTTAATCTGGTAAGTATATATTTTTTTTTCCGCTGATTGTGCCTTGTGTAAGACATTCCTGGCACAAATAAATTTCTCATACCGCTGTCCTAGCAGATGAAGCTGCACTGTCATTTGAAAGTGCTGTTTTGATAATATGATGGATACAGCTAAACAAGTTGCGGTGAAGATCATCTCTATTAATGCATTCTCGACAATTACTTGTAGAAAAATGCATGGTTCTCTTAAGTAGCTTGGAAGATATAGCGAGACAAATGGCTCTACACTCTAGGAAGTAGTGTCAGAGAATCATGTGATGTCTGAAACAGTGCAACTAAATATTGTGATGTTAAGATCATATACAATTTTTGAAAGCAACCATTATCAAAGTGGGATTCTTTCTTCAAACTATATATAGTTTGGGACAATAGGGCAGGGCAGAGCCTTGAAGAAGGTGTGGGGCAAAACTCATTTTATCAATACAATTAGTGTGGAGGAAATGACATATATATACAACTGATAGTTATAATTAGCAATAAATAGCCCAATAATAATTAGCATTTAATAGACAAATAAAAAATAAGCACAAAATGGCCCAAATTTATAAATGACATTTTAATAGTTTTTTTTTGTTTTCCTCGTATAACCAATATCACTAAACAACAAAAACAACGGAAACATAAAAAGTTGTATATACAATACGTAACCTCCCAAAAACGTAAATTATGTATTTTCATATATTTTTTTGTTCGTTACTTGATAAAAAAAAATCCAATTGTATACTTGATTGTATATAGGTAGAAGAATGGTGTATTCATTCAATTAGTATTAGTATACATTTATAGCTATGTTATCCCCTCCAGTGTATACATATTAAAAGTCAAACACTTTATGCATTCATTCACTTATAATATGTATACACTGCATTGAAGATTTTTTTAAATTCATGAACATCATGTATGCATTGCATTCATGTATACATATCCGTATATTCATTCTCTCAAAATTTGTAGACATTCCAGTTTCTTTCTTCAGTAAATGAGGATTGCACATGAAATATAAATTGCGCAATAGCAAACACACAAGTCGAATCGGATAATGAGAAGACTTACATGGCTATAAAATTTAGAGTTATGGATGGAGAATCCACAAAATTAGAATCAGAATCCCCATTTTTATGAATAATCCTAGGATAACTTTCTTAAACATAACAATTGATACCCACAATTAATCACTATTAAGTAAATTTTTGCCTAAATTAGATATAACCTTCAATTAAAAAAATTAAATTCCCCAAAAAAAATGAATGACAATACAAGAGGGGATCAAACATAGGCTAACAATTAGAGAAATTGACGGGTAGACATCAACAAACCATCAAGAATTTAAAAGCGAAAGAGAAAAAATACACTATGGACAAATATTTTTATAGAATTCAATATGTAAAACTAATAAACAAGAACTTTTATTCAAAGTAATGAAGAAGAAGAATTGAAGAAATATTTACATAATCAATAAAAAAAAATCATTCAAAAGAATTGTGTGTATGAGAAAGAAGAGAAAAAAAGGGAGAAAAAAATTACTCCCTCCGTTTCACAAAGAATGACCTCCTTTCCTTTTTAGTCAGTTTCAAAAAGAATGACCTATTTCCTTTTTTGGTAACATTTTACTTTTTGCTTTCCACGTGGCATGTTTAAGACCACAAGATTAAGGGCAATTTTGTACATTTGACATAACTTTAATTTAGGACCACAAGATTCAAAAGTCTTCTTTTATTTACTTAAACTCCGTGCCAAGTCAAACCAGGTCATTCTTTGTGAAACGGAGGGAGTACTTCCCAAATAAAAAAGGACATCATGCTGCCACCTCCTAAAATTATGTAATTTAATTTTAAAAAAAACTTCCCAATACGTGGGCTACTATTTGCAAAATTTAATTTTTAAAAATCTTTTTTTGTCAAGAAAATAAAAGATGGCTATTTGTTGCCAATTAGTAAAATGAGATGTCATGCTGTGCCATTTTTTCGTGATAGCAAAAGTAGCAGGGCTTAAAAATATTTCAGCAATTTCTTAAGAGCTCTGTTACTATTGAACTTACAGTCAGCCAGGGTTATTTATACCTTTATTTATCATGTTTAATTTTTTTTCCTCTTTCTATTCTTTTCATAACTAATTTCTCTCTCTTCTTGCCATGGTAATTTATTGTTGGAAAAACTAAATAATAGACCTACTTTACTACTATATATACTATTATTACCTATACTTTCAAAATATTACTCCCTCCGTTTTAAAAAAATAAATAATCTAGTTTGATTTGACACAAAGTTTAATAGACTTTTCAATCTTGTAGTCTTAAATTAAAGTTAGAACAAATATACCAAAATACTCTTTAATCTTGTGGTCTTAAACATGCCATGGGGAAAACTTAAACTTAAGTGTTGCTAAAAAAGGAGTCATTCTTTTGAAACAGGTTAAAAAGGAAAGCAAATCATTCTTTTTGAAACGGAGTGAGTACGTATCTTACCATTAATTAAGAGTTTCATATCATATATTGAAAAAATACACTTAGATGCATGCATTTTTACTACTAGATACACAAAAATAGGGAGAGAGGCAAGCAAGATGGGGAGGGAAGTGAGTGAGATTCGTATGTATCCTAGATACATGTGAATCACACTAGATATATGTATCTGTATGTTTTTGGTGTGATTCACATGTATATGGTAGAGAGTGATGAGCGATATTACAGAGAGGCGAGCGAGATTTATTATGTATCCACTAGTAGAGTAAGCCCTTCCCACGTGTCAAGTTGAATATGACTAAATGAATGCAGCCTCAACCAGAGAGATCAACCTGCGCCTTGAGTTGAGGCCGCTGGCGGCGCAGAACGAACTAATCCGCGACCAACAAGTTTTCCAAAAGCGAACTGAATGGAATTGTTACTTTCCAAAAATCTTGCTTCAAATCAAAGAAAGAAGGTCTATTTTCCCACGTAGTTCATCGGTCAAACCAACGATTCTCTTCTCAAAGTAATAGAGAGAGTCTTTTCCTAGTTAGACTTCTATCAATGGAATGAAAGAACCATCCCTTCCTATTTCTTTGTTTGTCCTGTCAGATAGAAAGAAAATTAAACCCCAAAAAGCCCTTCTTTACTACTTTAGACCCCAAGTGTCATGCGAATCCACTTGCATACAATGTATCTAGAACAAATTACTGTATCTCCAGACACATCTATCTGGACGTATTTGGACACACCAAAATATGGTAAGATATGTAATATTATAAATTAGTGTGTATCTAAGTAATTAGCTCCTAAACTAGTCTGATTTATGTAAGTCTCCCTTGATTGTTCCCATCTAATACTACCGTAGTGGTGGTTTATGTAATTCCTTATAAGTGAGTTTATGTTTATATGAAAAAGTTCAAATCAATTTTAAAAGATCCAAATCAATACAGAGGGTGGAACAACTAATCAATAAAAAAAAGTAAAAAAACAAAGTAATGTGCATAGTACAATTTTTTTCAAGGTGGAAAAAAATGAAAGAAAATATATAGATAGGTCCTGATAAGGCAGAATATGGCAATTTTTGAAAACATGCTTAAACTGTTAGGCAAGTTAAATTTAAGCATGTCAAGATTTTCCCCGCCCCGCCTCTCCCCATTTATATTCCTAGGGTTAGATAGAGACATGGGTGTGAAAAATTGGAAGCTTGTGTAGTGTTAATTCAACTTAAAATAACTTGATATTAGTTGGCGGCCCCTCCTCTGTTGGAGGCCCCTACTTTACCCTTAGAGAAAATAGCCTTTTAGCCCCTGTACCCCTCACTAAGACTTACCTTGCTACCCCCCTAATACTATCATCACATCCACTAAAAGTAGCAAGCATAGAGGATACATTTACCCATCCCGATAAATCCTTAGAGATAGAGTCCACATCACATCACCTTTTGTCCAACGTGGAAGCTCTCTCTCCACATCCTCCTCTAGCTATGATACAACTGTATCGAAATGGACCGACGTAGATATTACCCCGCAAAGTCGTAAGACCATGTATGGGGGCAGACGCCTGCCCAGTGCCGGAAGGTCAAGGAAGTTGGTGACCTGATGACAGGGGAGCCGGCAAGCCGAGTTCTAAAAATAGATAAATTGGAAAAGGATTCTGATACTATTATTCCTAGTACTAACAGACAAACAAATAATAAATCTTCCAATATTATCTCTACTTTTCCTATCCGCTCCATATTTATTAACTTACCAAATATAGAAAACAATGCCTCACTCACGTCTAAGTTCCCAAACCAGACGCTAAACAGCCAAGTTCCAAATTCTCCAAACTCATCACCATGTGAACAACCCAGAATGGAAAATATGAACAATCCCATCCCCCAAAACTCCCAGAATTTTCCACAACAATTACAAACGACCATTATCTACGCCACTCCAGCCCCACCTCCAAACGGAACTCCAATGTCATGGCTAGAGATGAGCCTTTGTCACGACTCAAAGTACACCCTAGACATGACATGGCGTGTAAGACCCCGAGAGGCCCTACACAAGCCACTTAGCATACATAAATAAGATAATAGTATTGAAAGAGTTTAAAAGACAGTTTATAACATAAAAGAGTTTGTCAAAACGAAGCGGAAGTCTATATAGTCTCAAAGCCATCTATTACATTAAGAGTGATCGGTACATAACCCGTACATCACATACAATCTCTAAAAAGTAAAGACAATAAGAAATAAGGCTTGGTCACCGGAACACGAGGAATCACCAATTTTCTATATCTACTAAGTGATCCCTAGCCACGAAAATGCGGAATAGGAGCATCGGACCCTACATTAGTGAAATAATGTTCAAGAGTATGCGATAGTATAAATATGTCCCAAGTATGATAGCAAAGCATAAAAATTTTGAAATCATGCTAAAAGGACTTTTCGTGATATGCAAAGACCAAGTCAAAACATGAGATAAGAGGATTAGAAAACATAAACCGTAATCATGGTCAATGAAAGTACGATCATCTTTGAACAAATGTTAGATATTTCTTGAAGTAAC